AGAAATTATTTCCATATAAGTCATTGAATCTGAAAATGAAAAATTCTTTCTAACCACTTTCATCAATAAATAAAATGTAGAATGCATAATAATAAGAAAAATAATATAAAGTATATGTTATATAAAATTTTAATAATTTATATGTAATTAAAGTAATTAAAACTCTTCGATGTTCAGAATTTTATCAATAAATAAATAATGAATACCTTTTTTTCCTAAACATTACGAAGAGTTCTTAAAAAAAACTCTCAACGTACCACAATAGTACCTTCTGGGTGGTGTGGAAATTTACTGATTAATATTCAACTAGTGCTTAACAATGTAGATAAAAAATTTTTTTTTCTCACGGTCTTTCTAGGCACCAACCTCTTCCCACTAACAGATTAAATTTAAAGACTTTTCCTTTAAGTTAGAATAGAAGGGGCGTGGAGCGCGCAGGGGCCGAAGCCTCTCTGGTATATATTTATGGGAAAAAACGCGTCAACCCGAACCCCCCTCTGCCCATAATTGGTTTTAGGTTTTTCGGGATGTATGACCAGTCAAATTTAAGCTTTTTACCTCTAGTTTTAAATGTCATGTGGCATTTTTTTATTATATCTAATGACCGACGAGCATGGTGGCTCAGACGGGTGAAGCGTATCGAAAAATAAAAATTTTTTTTAAATTTGTCTTATGGTACACTATATAAGTTCCTAATTCCTTAATAATGATTGGATATCCTTCTTCTCATAGTATTTTCTCAACCATTGCCGTGAAAAAAACAAAAATAACCATAACTTTAAAAATTCCTACGATTCCGTATCTCAAACATCGAAGCTCAATATCTTTTTAGAATCAAAGTCTGCGAACTTGAAACTTTAAACCATGAGCTAATCAACTTTCTAGACTCCTTATCCAACACAAAGCTCACGAGAATATCCAACATAGTCTCAAAAATACTCATGACCTCGTAATGCAATCTTCTGAACCCAATAGATTTTTTGAATCAAAGTCTGCAAACTTGGAAATACTTGAGACGTGAGCTTATAAACTTTCTGAACTCTTAATTCAACACCAAGCTCACGAGAATACCTAACATAACCTTGAAAATAATCACATTGAACCCCTAAACTCATAACTGGCTCATACTTTAAGCAAGTTAACACAGTTACTCCACTCGTGTGTAGTTTATCTGAAAAATTAGATAGTAAACTCTCTAAGTTTTTTAACAATAAACTCCTAAACCTACGATCGGTGCATATCACATACGAGTGAACCCAGTTACCCCAATCGTGCATGATTTAACTGAAACATTAGCTAGTAAGTGTGGGACTGGCTCAAGATTCTGGAAAAACGTATCGGAGTTCGTCGTTTTATAAATTCGAGAGTTTGTTAGCTAGTTTGTCAGTTGAACCACGCACGGGTGGGGTAACTGGGTTTACTAGCTTGTGGTATGAACCTGTTGCGAGTTTAGGAGTTCATTGTGGGTATTTTCGAGGTTATGTTGGGTATTCTTGTGAGCTTGGTGTTGAATTAGGAGTTCAGAAAGTTAATGAGCTCACGATTTAAGTATTTCCAAATTTACAGACTTTAAATCTGAAAGCTCTTGGGTTCAGAAGATTGCATTACGAGGTTATGGGTATTTTTGAGACTATGTTGGATATTCTCGTGAGCTTTGTGTTGGACAAGGAGTCTAGAAAGTTGATTAGCTCATGGTTTGAACATTTCCAAGTTCGCAGACTTTAATTCTAGAAAGATATTGGGCTTAGATGTTTGAGATACGGGATCGTGGGGATCTTTAAGATTATGTGAATTTTTATTTTTTTACCGCAATGGTTAAGAAAATACTATGAGAAGGTGGATATCCAATCATAATTACGGAATTAAGAACTTATATATTGTACTAAACGACAAATTAAAAAAACAATTTTTAATTTTTCGAGACGCTTCACCCGTTAGAGGCGCTATATTGGTCGGTCATTAAATATGATAAAAAAATGCCACATTACATTTAAAACTAGAAGAACAAAGCTAAATTTTGACTGGTCACACATCCCGAAAAAGTTTAACCAATCATGGACAGAGGGGGGGCTTGGGTTGACTCGTTTTATATATATATATCTTAGGGTGCTCGTTTAAAATTAAATTTTTTCAGGCACCCAAAAAAAACTTTTCTTTTGACGAAAAACTACGGGGAAAACTTTCTTTTTTGAAAAAAGAAAAAAAAATAACACGTGCCGCCGGCCAATTGAAGCTTATTTTTCGATAAAATTGCAGTTTTTTCAATATATTCTGAAGATTCAAATTTTAATTGAAAAAGATGAAAACGTGCTTGTAGGATATTTAATTCTCTACATAATAGTGTCTTTCGATTTTTAATGAAGTTAGTATTGATCCGAGTAATCTCAGTATTAAATTTCTAACCGCTTCTCCATCATAATTTTGAAGACTAAAAAATTTATTTTTCCTTAATTATAAAAAATAAAATGTATGATATTANTATATCTTCTATAAAGGTGCTCGTTTTCCTATCTGATGTTATTGTTGGCTCTCTGTTTTCTATTGACTCTTGAGCAGCCGTTGTCTCTTCCAGATATTCGTCGTAGAACACAACATTACCTTCTGTGTCTAAGTAAATATCCTGGAGTTATGTCGTTAAAGTTAATACTATAGTTCGAAATTTATTACGAACATTTAAATTCTTGATGACATTTTTAACGATCGAATTCTCAAAAAGAACTTTATGTTGTGCACTAGTCTGTTTGTCTGCCGGAAATAAAAACATTTCCTCTTGACCCAGCAGTTGAATACGCTTAACTTTGACCACTGTGCTTTTTGGATCTGCGCCAGCCTCTGAGACAAAGTGAAATTTGGCCTTGATCTCCATTGTATTGATTTGTAAGTCCCGATTTACGAAGATGGAATCGGGAGGAGATAAGGATTAATTAATCAACACAAGTGAGATGCAGTAAAACAACTGTAATATTTACAATATGTACAAATTAGCGGAAGCTTGTAATAAAGTTACACTAGACGAAAGATTCAACTAACCTGAATCAATACAATTGCCGATAATAAATCTCTGTACAATGTCTCACAATAACGGAGCTCGCGACTCGGAGTCTTATTTCATACTGACTCTAACAATAAGGAGAACCAACGGCAAAGCCAAGCTTGATGATTCACACAAGCTTATATATACATATATCTCAAAAAAAAAATTTTTTTCCGTAGTTTTTCATCAGAAGAAAATTTTTTTTGGGGCGCCTGAAAAAATTTAATTGTCAGCGACCACCCTAATATATATATTATTATGTTTCCAATTTTTTAATTTACAAAAGACAAAACTGTTTTAATCCTATAGTACTTTGTTGGAATACAAATAATAACAAAACTCTTAGAAAAATGTGTACATCTAATAGCACACTAAATGTTAATTAATTTACTTGACTGGCTGCGTCAATTATCTTATTATATTGAGCCTGCCTAATAAAGCTATACTTCCAGAAAAATAATATGATTTGGAATAAATTCTAGATAAAAATGTATTTTTTCTAAAAACTGTCTAACCTGTTTTATTATTTTAGGTGTAGGGAACTTCTTTATCGCCTCTAAATTATCATTTATCGGTCTAATGCTGTTATTTCCCAATTCGTGTCCTAGATATTTTATCGTTTTGCAAGCGAACTGACATTTTTTTTATTCAACTTGAAACCTTATTTAGACAATGCCTTAAATACCTGCTGTACGTGATTTACATGTTCCTCATAACTTTTGGATAACACCAATATATCGTCGATATAATTTACTGTAAAAGAGTCCAGATTATTTATTTTTAACACGTTAGCTAAAACTCTTTGAAACACGGCAGGTGCCGTCTTTAACCCAAAAGGTAAACAATTCCACTGCCAATGACCGTGGTAAGTGATAAATGCCAACTTGTGTCTGTCCTTTGCTCTCACCAGAATCGACCAGAAAGCTGATTTCACATCTAGTTTTGTAAAAAATTTACAATTCCTGGCACGTATGGTAAGATCTTCTATCCTTGGGAAAGGTTGACTTTCTGGTACAATTATATTGTTTAATTCTCTGAAGTCAATATATTAGCGCGATCTTTTGCCTTCTTCCTTCTTGAATACCAATGTTACCGGAGCCGCATGAGGACTGCTTGACTCTTCAATTAATCCTGCTTTTAACAAATCCTTTACTTGTTTTTCAATTTCTAATTTATCTTGGTATGAGTATCTGTAGGGTTTTTTTGAAACATATTTGTTTTCTGCCAGTTTTACTGTTGCTACATATTCCTTAACTGTTCCTATATCAAATTTTGACTTCACAAAACTAGTCTTATTTCTTTTTATAATATCTTCCATTCTGTTTGCACTTATTTCACTCGTGTTAATTTGTTTATTTATATTTTTCAACTCTTGTTTTTGTGATATAATTAGGTTTTCATCCTGACATAATCTGAATTTTTTTATCAAGTCTAATCTCAGCAGAAATTCACAATCAATTACATTATCTTTGACAATAAAAAACTGAAAATTCTCTTCTATGTTACATATTTTAACTTTTAGCGTTATCGTACCTATTGTTCTTGTTAAACCTGCTAAACCCTTAAGAGTATCTCTCCCACTTATTATTTGCTTTGTATTGGTTTTATTAATTAAAAATTTCTCGTTAATCAAAGACACATTGGAACCAGAATCATATAAACCAATTGCTGGAATTCCATTTGTTGAAAGTTTTACTTTAATAAGTGGGAGAACTATACGTTTTTTGCCTCATCATAACTAGCTATTATTTCCTGTATTACATTATTATTAATAACCTTAATATTCTCGTTTTTGGATTTCTTTATTTTTTTGTCTTTATTATGGCAAACGCTATCTAAATGAAATCTGTTTTTAAATCCTAAGTCTTCACAAATATCATATGGTTTTTTTTCATTTAGCAATTTCTTAATTACAATATCATTATTTTTTTCAATTTTACCAAACTGTTTTAACTTTGCCATAAAATTTTCTATATTAATAATAGACTTTCTATCTAATTTATTTTGTATAAAATTCGGTGAACTAATCACGATTAAATTAATTTGCGTGTTTATTGACATGCTATCATCAATTTCTAATAATAAATCTTTTTTTTTTAATGCAAATTCTAACAAAGATCCGTTGAAAAATTTAAAGTTATACGCATACGCAATGTTTGTCCAGGACTGTGCCGATAATGTATCGAGAAATGAGTTATTCCATGCTTCCCAATTCAGTACGGAGTTTTGTTTAACGAATACTTTATACCAATCCATTGCGGATTTTTCCAAGAACAATCTTAAAACTTCGGCATATTTATTTTGGGTAATTCCCACTCTGTCACACTCCTGCACAAACAAATTCATCCAGATACTCGCATTTAAATTCTCACCATTAAATTTTTCAATCACTATATCTTCCATAAAGGTGCTCGTTTTCCTATTTAATGTTATTGTTGGCTCTCTGTTTTCTATTGACTCTTGAGCAGCCGTTGTCTCTTCCAGATATTCGTCGTAGAACACAACATTACCTTCTGTGTCTAAGTAAATATCCTGGAGTTCTGTCGTTAAAGTTGATACTATGGTTCGAAATTTATTACGAACTTTTAAACTCTTGATGACATTTTTAACGATCGGATTCTCGAAAAGAACTTCATGTTGTGCACTTGTTTGTTTGTCTGCCGGAAATAAAAGCATTTCCTCTTGACCCAGTAGTTGAATACGCTTAACTTTGACCACTGTGCTTTTTGGATCTGCGCCAGCCTCCGAGACAAAGTGAAATTTGGCCTTGATCTCCATTGTATTGAATTGTAAGTCTCGATTTACGAAGATGGAATCGGGAGGAGATAAGGATTAATTAATCAACACTAGTGAGATGCAGTAAAACAACTGTAATATTTACAATATGTACAAATTAGCGGGAGCTTGTAATAAAGTTACACTAGACAAAATATTCAACTAATCTGAATCAATACAATTGCCGATAATGAACCTCTGTACAATGTCTCACAATAACGGAGCTCGCGACTCGGAGTCTTATTTCATACTGACTCTAACAATAAGGAGAACCAACGGCAAAGCCAAGCTTGATGATTCACACAAGCTTACATATATATTACAAGTAATTAAAGTTTTATAAACCTTTTTTGAAGAAATTAGACTTATAACACAACAAAAGGAGGCTATATACTACTGAGGCTCCGCCCCCCTGCGCGCTCCGCGCGCCAACCCCCTACTGTTCTAACTTGAAAGGAGAGTCTTAAAATTTTTTCTGTTAATGGGAAGAGGTTGGTGCCCAGAATTTCGTGAGGAAAAAGAATTTTTGATCTACATGGTTGAGCATTAGTTACATATTTATCAGTAAATTTCCACATCATCCAGAAGGTATATTGTGGTACGTAGAGAGTTTTTTTAGAACTTTCTGTTATGTTTAGAGAAAAAACGTTTACTATAATGTTCATAAATTTAAATTAAGATCAAAAGACAATGTTGTAAACTATTTGTGAACAAGAAGAAAAAGCATATTTCATAGATGGTCTTGGAGGATCCGGAAAAATCTACTTATATAAGACACTCATTTATTATTTTCTTTCTAGAGGTAAAAATATTTTGTCAATGGCTCGGACAGGAATTGCATCTGTATTACTACCAAAAGGTATGTATGACCAGTCATAGAACTTTCCGTTAACCTTTAGATTTGGATAATATGGAG